ATGACCAGGTTGGGGTGGCGACTTGGCCTTCAGAACCCACTGGGAAAGAAGCAGAAGGTAGGGGCACCCCTTCAGACTGGCAGCACTAGGGTGTGAGCAAGGAATGAGGAGAGACATGAACATAATCTTCCTGATGTGATTGAACTATTGAATTGTACAATACGTGAAGTGCCAATAAAACTGGTTTTTTTTAATGTTCCAGAAAATGTCCCTGTTAAGTTTATAAGGGTGTCATAAAAATGAAAACACTACTAAAAAAAGTCTCATAGAGGACACACAAAAAATGACTCCAGCAAGGCTCTGGGTAGCCACGGCCTTAGACACCTCAAACGCTTTCCCATGTGACATAGAAGAAGTGGCGGGGATAACTGAGCAAGGTTCCGCCCATGGCAGCAAGAAACCTCTCTGGGCCACCAACTTGGGACCAGATGCGGTGAGAGTGAGCTCAAGGAACGGATGCAATATGGACACTCGCCGGAGAGAACTCTCCTGCGTTAGGCATTGTGTCAGGTCCTCAGAGTTCAGCTGAGACCCCGAATCTAAGTTGACACCAGACGTTGCTCCTGGCACTCAGACAAAGTGTGGCCTCAACCTGAGAGTGACAGCCTTGTGATGCCTCTCACAGGCCTGACGTCAATCGGACATCAACAAAAGCAAAGCTCTGTGATTCAAAGCACATCACTGCTGTGGTCAGGTGCGTGGAGTCAGTCTTCCAGGGACCCGACATTGTCCTTGTCTGAGCCCATTGTTGCAGCCACGTGTCAATCCAGCTATTGGAGGGCCTTCCACTTTCTCGCTGGCCCTCCACATTACCAAGCATGACGTCCTTCCCCAGGGACTTGTCGCTCCTGAGAACGTGTCCAGAGCATGTGAGAATCCCCTTGTTAGCTCAGTTATATAACTGGACCACCTCCCCACCCACCCACCCTCCGACCGCACAGAAATACGCCAAGCACCTGAAACTCAGAAAGTGTCCAAAACTGAAGTCATCACACGTCCTCTCTGAAATCATGACACCGTCTCAGGAAGTAGCACCACCAGCTGAGTCACCAAACTAGAAACAAGGTGGTCATCACAGATCCGGTCGTCCCTCATCACCCCACCCATCCAATCTGTCAATAAGCCCACTAGCGTCCACTTCCTAACAGCCACTCACTCCCTCCCTCCCATCGAGTCCATGTTCATTCACGGTGAGCCTGCAGGACAGAGCGGAACTAACTGTCCCGGTGAGTTTCTGATAGTGTGAGTCTTTAAAGACGTAGAAAGCCTCTCCTTTCTCCTGAGCGCTTCAATAGGCCCCCCACATTTTCCACTCTGTGTGCACTCCCTATTGCTATTGATCTCTGCGGACGCTCTCCATTTCTTGG